GAGTAGATTGCTGTATCGTATGTTGCGATGCAAAAGACAACCCTCATCGTTTTGTCCAGTGTGGCTCTGCTCAGCATGCTCTGGCATAGGTGGTCCTGCCCAGTAGACATTATATGATACATGTGTTGTTGCCTGCATTGTTTTAACTCTTCTGGCCTTCTGTCGTTGCATTTATGGGTATACAGATGGCAGTTGTAATAGGGAGACAAACAGCTCGGCAGATGAGCATTTAGGCCAACGGACAGATGGATCTGCTCAAGTGGATGGGAATGTTCAAACAAAGGTTGGTAGGGTTTACATAGATTTACCTGGGTGTATAACATTGGATATGATACAGATAGGGGTTCTGGTGGGGTTCAGTTTAATTAGAAAGGCTCTCTCTCTCTCGCTCTCCTGCTCTCTCTCTCTTTCCCTGCCTCCCTTTCTCTCTGATCCCCACTACTGTAGCCTAAATCCCCAAGCCAAGCCCTCTGCCCGAAGCTCTCGACCAAAAACCCCTAAATCCCTAAACCCCTAAATCCCTAAACCCCTAAACCCCTAAACTCTAAGCCCTGTGTCAGGATCTTGGTGCAGAGACACTGGCGAGATCAGATCTGCCGTGGGCTCATGAAGAACCTCGAGGAGTCACACGGTTTAGAGGCTAAGGGTCCAAGTAGTGCTTATTTATGGTTTCAGGTACCCAAAAAGGCCCCAAAGTCCTTAAATAATGGGTACTTGGACCCTTAGGGTTTAGGGTTTAGGCTTTAGGGCCGAACTTCGAGTTTACGTTTTGGGGAAGTTTAGGTGCCAGGGTTTAGGTCTGGGCCAGGGGTTTAGGGTTCAGGGTTTGGGTGTTAGGGCTTAGGTCTTGGAGTTTAGGGTTTAGGGTTTGGGTGCTAGGATTTAGGTCTTGGAGCTTATTTTTCAGGGTTTAGGTCGCACGGTTTTAGGTTTTGAGTTGTACACTCGGGTTTGGGGACTTTTGCAGGGCGCCTTTCAACAATTAGTTGGTAATGTGGGCAGCCCATCGGATCTTCAAGCATACTCATTTCTTGCGGGTCTTAGGATCTTAGAACTTTTGGGCTTGCAGCTCGGGGATCAGGGGTTTGGCTTGAGGTTGGGAGTTGGGGCTCATGGTTCGGGTTGTTGGATTTCGGGCCCAGGGTGTGTGTGTGTGTCGTAGGGTTTAGGGTTTAGGGTTTAGGGGTGGCGCGCGCAGTGGGTCTGGCTCTTGGTGTAGGAATGGGAACCGCGGGCCACTTATCGCGCACTTGCGTCTTAAAGGACCCGAGCTGCTCTCAAATGTTTTAGAGCTCCCCCCCTCTTTGACCAATCCCCGAGCCTGGGGTCCTGTGAAATTCCCAATTCCCAATTCCTTAAACATATTATGGGGGGAAAATATTTTTTCCTTTGTCATATGTTTAGTGCCCAATTCCCAATTCGCAATTCCATTCCCCCCCATTTACTTCCGTCGTCCGGTTCGTAAGTTGGAAGCTTTGCCGAAGCAAAATGCTGCAGAAACAAGGTCGCTTGCGTTCTTAGGGTTTAGGGTTCAGGGTTTAAGGTTCAGGGTTTAGAGTTTAGGGTTTAGGGTTCTAAAAGCAGCTCCTCAAATTCTGCAATGTAGAAGCCTGAAGAAGACTTGCTAATATTAGTTCTCAGGGTTCCTTATGATTTCCCGCTATATTCAGCCCTGTAAAGTCCTTGTAGAACTCCTTACAGGAGCCTACTCTAAACCTTAAGCTCGAAAAGCTCAAACATAAACCCTAAACCGAATCAATCAATAAGGCCACTCTATTCCCTTGAATTCCCGCATTCCACGAGCAGGAAAAGAGAAAGGATGGCCGTGAGGCATGCCTGCCACAGAAGGCTTGGGGTCTGGAGCTGGCGTCTAGGGTTTTCTAGGGTTTAGTAGAACAGGGTTTGGCGTTTAGGGTTCAGGTTTGGGGCTCTTCGGGGTTGGGAAATTTAGGTTTCCGGGGCATCGGGCCAAGCAGTTTAGGCAAGATGATGTGCGGACTCGTCAGTCGCGCCTGCAGCGGCCGGGGTAGAGCATGAAACGGAAGGGCTTAAACATTCAGGTAGGAGACGGACTTAGAAGTAACTTAAAAGGCGTTTCAAGAAGTCTACAGGCATGTCGCATGCCGGTGAGGGGAGTCCATGCTTTTCTAGCCTGTTCTCGGCGAGGTATCATGCCCTAGCACAGCCTGATGTGAGGGGTGGGCCCTGCTCCACAGTCCTTTGCGAAACAAAAACACAGCTGATTGCTCGGAGTTATCTCGGCACAGGACATGCTTGGCTTAAGGGCCTGTCATGTCCGCATCCTCGAAAGCAGAGCTCACCGCACCCTGCCATTTTTCAGCTGCAGTTAATTCGCAGGGATGTGAACGATCATTGATGGTTGTTCCTCCCAAGCGCTCGAAGTACAGAACATCTTGCCGGCTCCATTCTTGCATGGTTTGTTTCAGCTACTGCATTGGTTAGAGGTCCTGCAGTTCTGCCGCTTCTTAGTCTCTGGAGCTTTCTGAGCATGGCCCCTTTGGAAAAGCGCGTCACCCAATCCGAGCTGCATGCACTTGACTATCTTGTCTTTTTAGCTGCAGTGCTCGAAGTATGTGTATCTGCAGATGAACAGCCGTTTAACACCTGCCTTAGCACATGTTCGAGTGGCTCCGGTTTGCAATGTACACCTTTGGAGACGCAGGCAGTCAGCTATGTATGTGGGTATCAGAAAAACCTCCAACTATGGGTAATGAGCTCACGAGTTGCTTGTCCTGTCCGGACAAGGCATCAAGTGCCTATGCGAAGTTCTACTTGATATGATCGCTGCAAGTTTGATTGATATCGGGACCCGCTCACTGCCAATATAGTAGATCAATGGTGAGCAGTATGGTGTAGACGACGGTGATGTCGTTGATGATGACGGCGATGATGTTCACAGCAACAATACTGTACTCAAACACCATAGGGCTGATTTCGACATCGACACAGGATGATGGCGCTGAAAGAGACCATGGTGACGACAATGACAAATGCAGACGACGACGATGGCGATAACGACGATGGCAATTGGCCATGAATATGATGACAATGATGGTGGTGATGATGCTGATGACGATGGGGATGACGATAAAGATGACCATGATGATGATGATGATGATGATGATGATGATGATAATGATGCAGATGGCGATGGCGACAAAGATGGCGATGCCCATGATGATGATGATGATAATGATGATGATGACGATGTTGATGGTGGTGATGATGTTGATGCAGATGATGATGATGATTATGCTGATGATGGTGATGATGATGATAATGATGATGATGGTGATGATGATGATGATGACGGTGCCCGGATTCCATGATGCCATGATGGAAACATAATGATACAGAAGCTGGTGATGATGATGACGACGATTGTGATGAACACAGAGGATGGTTGTGAATGTGTTGATGCTGCTCATGATGATGGTATGTCCGTGAAGATGATCATGGTGATGGCGATCGAAAGGAGGTAGTTGTAGCGGTGGTGACGATGATAATTTGGTGCTGATGGTGATGATGACTTTCAGCGATGTTTCTGGTTTTGTGCTTCCTTGCCCAACACTGCAGCTCTTGGCTTCGAACCCCAATTGGTTGCGGTTCTTAGCCGCGAGCTGCACCCGACGACCCAGGCGCAGTTGTGCGCGGAAGCCTCAGCCCTCATATTACTTTGGTGGCCGGAAGCTGCGTTTACGTTTAAAGGGCACACGTGTGCCTGTAGCAGAGCATTCTGTGTGGCAAGACGTCGCAGCATCAGCTGTTGATGACAAGAGAGCAGCGTTCAGTGTCCTGATACAAGGCCTTGGGAGCATGCATGGGGCAGCGAGCCTCGTGCAATTACTGAGCGTGTCTTGGTGCGGTGCAACAACAAATTGTTGCATGATTTTTGCGTTTACCCGCTTTTACTCCAGGTGCGAGGAGTGTTTAGTTCAAGCCTGCTTTGCACTAAAGCACTTGGACTTGGAGTCAAGTTTCAATGGCTTGCGAATCAGGTGCAAGTGATTCATTCTGCGAGCCAAGGTGTTCCTATGTCTTCTCGATGCTTGTCTTCATATCACAACCGCGACTAGGATTTCAGCCGCGACGAAGACCTCTACTAGTGCTGCTACGGCAAATGCCGCGCCCGGCCCCTGCCCCTGACAGTGTTGCTGCAGCTGCTGCTGCTACCGCTTGTGTCGCTACAAGCTGTTGCAAGGAAAACAACTACAAGCGCTGCTGATGTTTCGGTACAGGCTATTGCTACAAGCTACCAGCTTCAGCGATTCTACTGGCCACACTAGTGTTGGTGCTGGTTCTGGTCTTGACACTCGTACTTGCGGCTCTGATAGTACTCGAAGATTCGTGCAGTCGGAGTATGAGTGACAGTGACAGCACCAATATCTTCCCAAAGATTTCGCAGTTCAATAGCAGCGTCACTAGATGGAACGGTGAGAGTAAGATCGGACATAGCAGCATTCATGTCCGCATGGAGTGCGCAAACAATGGGAATAGTAGCAAAAGTGTAAGCTGTGGTAACTGGAAAAGCAACAAAGTGATAGAACAGGCTGGAGGCGTAGCAGCAGTTGTCTTGCCTGAAACCATAGAAAATGTTAAAGAGGCAAAGCAGCCATTGTCTCAATGATGCAACAGCAGCCGTCTCACTAGTTCTTTGGCAGCGTACATATGTCAGGACAGGATTTTAGCGCGTATCGCCGCAGGAGCAGGCAATGTCGCAATGAGTCGAAACAGACCATCGTTGTCTTGACAGCAACCGTCGAAAAGTAAAGTTTAAAGTCATGTGTCCAGTAGAAGCAGCAAATTTTCTGATCATTGCTTCGGGTAGTTGTCTATATGAGCAGATGTAGGTGCTTTGTTCATGCAGCAAGAACAACCCTCACCGTCTTCGCCGCAACGGCAGCAGAAGCAACTGCAATGCTGTGCATCGTTCTCACACTACTTACACCCGCTATATGTATTGGTAGACTCCAATGGTAATGGCTTCCCAACCATTCTCCGAGGAAATTCGCGCGCAGACAGGTGTGCCCGTGCAAGCAGCACTGGCGGTCCATGTTTCGGACAGCGATCCTCAGAAGGAGCCCCGCTTGCTGTCTTGTTCTTTACTTCTTCTTCTTCTTCTTTCAGTTATTGCCCTCCACACGGTGGACGTATACAGTTATCACTATGTATTATTTTCATCGATGGCTTGTCTCATCGTTTCTACCTCGATTTTGTTCAGCATCGCGCGCCTTCGGCAGTGTGCAGAGCACATTTGGTACCCTAAACCCTGAACCCCAAACCCTAAACCCTAAACCCCAAACCCTGAAACCCTAGATCCCAAACCCTAAGCCCTAAACCTGCTGACAGCCAGCTGCGCCGCTCTGGGTCTGGGTGTGCTCGGAGTTAGAGCTGCAGGGTCGATCCGAAAAATCGGGGCATTACCCATCGTCTCCATTGTAGTTCCTTTTTTGGTTTAACCAGTTAATTATGCATTAAGGAGTTGAAAAGGTATCCCCAAAAAGGGAACTACAATGGAGACTATAGGACTATGGGTAGTATCTATAGGAGGGTTTGGGAGTATATCAAAATAGTAGAAGTACAATAGGGGCAGTAAGGGCATTGTATTGCAAAGCATTCAACCTCCAGGGAATTCCAGGAAGTGCCCTTGCCTTCCCGCTAAAACAGTTAATAAAAACCCTATGCCCCTAAACCCTGAACCTTAAACCCTAAACCCTAAACCCCCCTAGACCTTGAACCCTAAACCCCAAACCCTGAACCCTAAACCCTAAACCCTGAACCCCTAACCCCGAACCCTGAACCCTCCAATTTTTGGAAGATCGAGTTCCGGAAAGGCTGGTCTTCGAGACTCGATAACTCATGTCCCGGAGGTGGGACGAAGTGTCTCGCGAGCGAGATCCAGAAACGGATCCCTTAGGGTTTGGGGTTTAGGGGTTAGGGTTTAGGGTACTCCTAAACCTCCACAAATATCCCCCGAACCCTAAGCCCCGGTTTAGGGGACAGGGTTTGGGGTTTAGGGTTTAGGGTTCAGGGTACTCCTAAACCTCCACAAATATCCCCCGAGAGCTCTCAACCCTAATCCCCAAATCCTCAGCCCGAGGCCCTAAACCCTAAACTTGCCCTCGGCCCTTTTTGAGATCTGCATAAACCTCTCGGTTCACTGGTCAGGGCGCCATCTCCGGCAACGTCTCCATCCGAGGGCCGGCGCATCTGGGCATAGTTGAGCGCTTGTTTCAGTTGGGCTTCAGCTTAATATAGTTGGGGTTCCTTGAAAGGTTACCTGAAGGGTTCTAGAAGGGCTACTACACGGGTTTAGGTTTTAGGGGCCTGAATAATTCGAACAGGGTTTTGGGGCCCGTTATACTGTAGGTATATAAAGGAACCGCAAAATAGTATTGGTAATTACTTAGGCTTCTATGGTAGGGGTGTGGGGTTCCAGCATCTAGGGCTCTAGGGTTTTATTTATAATCAGGCTTCGGCTTCAGGACGGGTTTAGAGTCTAGAGTAGGGTGTCGGGGTTTGGGGTTAACCTAAACCCTAAACTCTAAACCGTTTAGGGTCAAGGGTTTCTGTGACCACATCCCAGCCTCTGAATCAATCAAGCACACTGCGGTGTAGGGTTCATGATTCAAGGGTTTAGGGTTTTGACTTTGGGGGTTTTGGGTTTAGGGTCTCATCAAGCACAAACTTCTTGTAATGCCCAAAGTTCTACGGCTCCAGTTCCAACAGCAAAGGCGTGATGCCAGCGCACCGGACATTCAGTTCTTCTCGGTGCCTTGGCAGGATTCGTCCAGAGCTGGATCGATCCGGTGCTCCTGACCTTTCTCTTTTGTTTTGGCATTGGAGGAACCCTAAACCCTGAACCCTAAACCCTAAACCCTGAACCCTAAACCCTGAACCCTAAACCCTAAACCCTAAACCCTGAACCTTAAACCCTAACTCTAAAGTTTCAGGATTCTGAGTTTCCTTGATCGTTAGTCTGCTCATTCTTGGTAGACCGTTAGAATATGGGTAGTTTTCTAAGTTAGGGTCCCTTTTGGGGTCCTTTTTATAAGGGTGCCGTGCTATATTGAGGACCTAAAAAGGGACCCTAATTTAGAGAACTACCCGTATGTTATGTACACCCGTATCGCGATTATGGTCATCTGAATTTACGAAGCTCTCTCAGGGGTTTCCAAGGGCCGGACCAGTCTTTAAAGCGTGGCTTCTGAAGCTTCAGCCCGGCATTAGAGACGAGCGTGAACGGAATTCATGGATGCTCGTGTTGAAGGGCATTACGACTCAAATCTTATCTTATTACTCTTTCTACTTGAACTATTCGTCTTCCTCCTCCTACTGCTTCTGCTGCCGCTCCTCCTCCTGCTGCTGCTGCTGCTGCTGTTGATATTGTGCTGGTGATGACGAGGGTGGTGATGATGTTGAGGTTGATGTCGATGTTGATGATGGCGATGATGCTGCTAGTGATGATGATGATGATGATGAGGATGGTGCTGATGATGATGAGGATTGTGCTGATGAGGATGATTATGGTGATGATGTTGCTGTTGGTGGTAACGCAGACGAGGGTGATGATAATGATGATGGTGATAACGGTCACGACCATGACAGCAACCATGCTTTGATGGCTGTTCGGGTGACGATGCTGAAGGTGACGTTGAAGATGATGCAATTGATGCTTCCGCGTGTCGTGACGATAAGCAAGCACGATGACGGCCAGAAGACTACGACAATGACGATGAACATGGCCATGATGATGGCATTGATGATGCGTTTTTGTGTGGTTGGTTCTCGTGATACGTCACGATGACGGCAGCCATGAACAATGCAACGGAGAGCGAAAAAGAGAGAGAGAGAGAGAGAGAGAGCGACCGACGGAGCGACGGAGCGAGGGAACAAGGGAGCGGGGGAGGGAGAGAGGGAGACAGGGAGAGAGGCGGAGGGCGAGGGGAGGGAGAGGGAGGGCGACAGGGAGAGGGAGAGAGAGTGTGAGAGAGCGATGTTAGAAGCCGGATACACCTCAGTTCCATGTTAGAGCAAGGCTGAACTGCAATAGTGCTGACGAGCAAGACAGTGATGCTACATTGTAGGCATGTCTGTGTGATGATGAAACTCCTGTGAAGCCGTGGCTTGCAGGTCTACTGGGGATCCGATGCAAGCACACCTATGTCTTCCTCGCCCGTGGTGTCTCCAACTCGTTTAGGGTTTAGATGGGCTTAGGGTTTTGGAGGCAGGTCCGCGAGCGAAGAAGGCTTTATGGTTTCGGTCGGGCTTGTGCATGTCAGGATATGCTTGAGCACAAGGGATCTTTTGTAGTTGTAGCCACGATCGCACAGCATCGCAGTTGTTTCAAACAGCCAGGCCGTTGTCCCTGCTGTAGCAGACCCTTCAAGTACCCGGCCGACGTGCACGGACTCCAACGACGGCGATTGTGGCAGGCCCTCTTTGTTGCAGGTGTTGCCGCATTCTTCCGATGGTTCCGGAGAGATCTGAGACTTTTCGCAGACCTACCTGCTCTCTGCGGCCAAGGATTGTCATGGAATCCACTGCTGATGGATGGACTATCAGCCGTACAGGAGGATACAACAACAACGAGTATGCCTCCATCGAGCTTCAAGGACGAGCGCGCTTAGCCCTCTGGAGGGGGGGGGCAGAGATCAAGATTCCGCTAGTAGTTCCCAGAAGTCATGCCACAGTAAAGTACTGTTGTGCAGGGGAGGATGCACTGTTCTGTTTGAGGACCCGGCAGCATGACGCTGTGACTTGACTGCAAGAGAGAGGCAAGCGATGTGCGACTTGCGACCCGGCACTCAGTTCGAGACGAGATGTGTGCGAGTGATCGCCATCCGAACCAGGACATACTTGGACATAGAGGCAGGTTGGGACACGCTTTGCCTGGACGGCTATTGCTTTGGAACGACACGTGGCTGCCAGTAAGCCAGTACGGGGGGCTGGATCGCAACTTATCACGAAGCACGGATGGTTCGTGTTTGAAGCCGCCCTCGCTTCAAAGGAATGATGTGGGAGTGGCGCGCAGCTTCTCTCAAACGCTCCCGGATGGCACGTGATATAGGGCCTTAATAATTTTTGAATTGGGCTTTGCGGGATATTCTACGATAGCTATAAGGAGGAGCTCCAAACTAGTATTGGTAATAGTCTAGGCCCCTATAGCATAGTGCCGTGTGATGATGCTTAAGCCTTGCTTCTCAGGGCCACTCTCGTTTGGATGACGGATTCATCAGTCACATACGACGGCTGGACCGTGGCGTACACAGGCGGTCAACAGGCTGGTACGCAGGGCACGGGGTTACTGTGAAACAGTGTCGTCGAGTCTGTCGGACATGTCAGCAAGCCTCCCTGTAAACCAAAACCCTAAACCCTAAACCCTAAACCCTAAACCCTAAACCCTAAACCCTAAACCCTAAACCCTAAGCCATTGATGGCAGGGAGCACAGAGTGCTGTCTTTACTTCCGCGTTCCCACCCTCCACGATACCTTCTGGCGCAACGCACTTCCTCGTCTATTCCGGCAATGAGAATGGTGAGATGGCTGCCCCATTGGCTTCCGAAATTCAGGATACCATCGTGCCTCGCCTGCAGCTACTTCTCATGCCGCATACTCGAGAACTCGGCGTGAGCCCAACAGAGACACGAAGCATTCTGCAGGCCTTGCCGTCGCCAACATCACTCTCCTTCTCGGACGGCTCACCGACCCCTGGCCACATCCGGGGCCTCCTTTCGGTCTCCGCCGAGCAGAATGTGGATATTGAGCGTGGCTTGGAATCAAAATGGCATTCCGGGCCTTCGGTCGTAGTGTCAGCAACGACTCAACGACGCCGACGTCAAAGGCAACGAGAACGACCCATCAGCTACTGCTTCTGCTCCGCTTTTTCTCCTCCTCCAGCTGCTGCTACTCCTGCCGCGGCTGCTACGACGATGCCGACGACGACTACTAATACTTGCTGCTGCTGCTGCTGCTGCTGCTGCTGCTGCTGCTGCGCTGCTGCTGCTGCGCTACTGCTACTGCCACTGCGACGACGACGACTACTGACTGCTCCTACTACTCTTACTACTACTATGACTACTACTACTGCTACTACTA